TTAGAAAAACAGTGGGGGAAATGCTCTTTGCTCAGGAACATATGCTGCTTCATGGGTCTGACTCCAGTGAAGTAAGCCCAAAGTTTCCATATTTATAATGTCCAATCTGCCCTGAATGCCCTAAATATACTCTCCAACCCACAGCGAGTGGATATGTGATTTTTCTCAAATTTGTTCTGTACCTTTTGGGTTCCACTTATATATTTTGCTCTTTTTCATCCAGTTTTGACTTGAAATATTTATATATTATCTTCCTTCTGTATCCACTAGAACCCCAACTTTTAAATTATTGAAGTATGTATGTATTTACATGCATATTGTGTAATCCTAAAATATTGGAGGTGATACTATTTATTTTAAGCATATAAAAAACAACACTTATATAAAACCCATGATCATAAGAAACATATTTGGAGCTGAGGAAATTCAAATTAAAACAAGGGAAATGCTGATTCAAGTAATTTCCCGATTCCATTCAATCAAACTGAAAGACACAACAAGTACCTGCCTCTCACCTTTCCTGTGCTGGCCAGAGGGGGCCATCTTTGGCAAGCAGCTATCGTACCTTTTCCCAGCTCTTCCTTCATTATGCCACTATTTTCCCAGGAAGGCTGCAACCAGCTGCCTTGGTTTCCTCCAAGGGTAGGAGCAGCTACTCTCCTACAAAACCCTTTGATAGAATGTGGAGCTTGCCCTTTCAGGTGCCCCTCACCCACTCCTGCCACTCCAGAGACTTCTGCCCCATCTGTGCAGAAGGTGGACACTCAAACATAGCTAAGATCATTAGAGAGGGGTCCTGGCCCATTATTAATATCAAAAAATTCCCCAAACTCTAGGAAGCTGTGATGAACACAGCCCTCCTGAAAGGTTCTCAGTTCCAAATTCACTATTTACCAGAGACATAACAACTGTCAATCAGAGTTGAAGTCTCCTGCCTTCTTCCCTGAATCTCTGTCTTGTCACCTATAGCTGTCCTGGATGCCCACCCATTTGAACCAATCACAAGCCTGGACTGGGACTCAGCATCACTCCAAATTTGGTTTACACTTGGACCAATAATAGGCCTGGAGTCCTGATCTAAGCAGCATTCCTCTCACACACCGAAAGTTAGCCTAGGAAAGCGCTCTGGTGTATCTTCATGCTGCTTCACAGGCCCTGTAAAAATAAAGCCAATCTGGTTCTACAAATTCGTTCGGAGAAATCATTATTTCTCAGGTAGTGTCAACTTGGAGGCTCTGGTTAATCTACTCTGGATCCTCAATAGTGTGAAGAACTTTAAAAGAACAATAAATACTAGAGGCTGTTAACTCAAAAGAGTTCCAGAGACCAGCAGCCAATTAGGATCAGAAACAGGGACCAGCATGGGACAGGATCTAAAGAAGGCAGCCAGCACAAGCCATTGTCAAACACCAACAGTCAGTAGTGTAGAGGCCAGCAACCAGCAGAGTTAGCAAATGGTACCCAGCTTTAAGCGGAGCTACTGGCAGAGCTGTGCTTTGCTAATTCGTGACATTTTTCTAAATCCAGATAGACCCTCTAACTCACAGGTGGCAAAATAACCAAGTAGAGCACTTTTGATATTAATAGGTTCAGTGTTTACTGTGCTTATGAATCACTGCCGTGTGGACTATTTTTTAAAAGTTTAGGGCAACTCTTCTGAGTTTAGATTTACCAATGCAAACTAAATACTTCTGAAGGTATTTTTCCAATAATCTTATTCTTTGGTTCTATAAATCACTTTTAAATTTTAAGGTTGGATCACACACATATCTATATATCTATATCCATATCTATATATCTATATATCTATATCTCTATCTATCTATCTATCTATCTACATATAATTTTAGCAAAAGATCCATTCATAGTTTGTGCTCACAACTATAAATTTCATATTTTTATTTTACTGGCCATATAAAAACATCAAGGCCCCTTAAAAATAAGTTGAAACTTCAATATTATTAGAATAAAGTTAGCTATGCTCTAAATGATGGATTTTTTTTGGTAATTGAAGAATAATTTTTTTCTTTGTGTTTCTGAGAATCATAATTTTTGATCAAAGAAGAAATAAATGCATTAAAAATACGATGTGTAGGGCCAGAAAAGTAACTCAGTGGCATTGTGTCTGTCTCTCATACACAGGGTTCTGAATTAGATCCCTGGTACCAAAAAAATAAATTAAAAAAAAACATTGAAAAGAGGTATACTTTTCTATTTGAAAGTCAGAATTTGGTATTATAAAATGCAAATCATCTGTTTTTCTTTACTTAGGATGCTTGAATGTATGTTTGTGCACATCTCTTCATAGAATATATTAATGAAACAGAGGGAACTTTGTTTTCCCTTACTTCATTAAAAATCCATTTTACTAATTTTAAATGTAATTTAAGCAGATATGAAAGATTCATGCTACAATTAACAAACTGACATAAAACAATGATATCAATTTGTCCTCAAAAGGTGTAAGTCAGAAATATTTTAAAATATTCCATTGTTAGTAGATTCTTCCATACTTTTTTTAGAACAGGGATGATATTAAGTAGAATTTCCTTTCATGTACAGTCTACCAAGATATGCTTCTAATATAAATTGCACTTAAAAGATTAGAAACTATACTGAACTCAGTTTTACATTTCCCATGTCTCCTGGCCTTTGGCATTGTGGAAAAATGACATTCAAAATTTTCTGTACTCCTTTTCCTCAGTAGCTAGCAAGATCCTGTACTTACTTTGCTTGACAATCTGTCAGAGCAGGATTAGTTTAAATTCTTCTTGCCTCTCTTCCTATGAAAAACGGAACACAAATGATCTTTATCCCCTGGTGATGTGACTTAAAGTTTCCTTCTTGATATATTAATATAAACTCTATAGAAAATTTAAGTAACTTAAAATTTAACTACTCTGTACTCTCAAGGGATCCTCTTCTCAATGTGTTACCCTCCATATTTAATATATATTGTGATTCCTTTCCAGATTGTGAGTGTGATTAATTTGTATAACATGAAATACATCTTCTCATTCAAAAGTAAACTTAAAAGCAGGACATATTACTGAAGAGAATTTTTGTTGAAAGCCTATACACTTACTGAGAACACATATTCATAAAACCTCTAGTGAAAGAATTACACATGGATATTGAATATAGTGGAATATTTTTCATGAGTACAGTGATTATCAGAGGAAGAAGGATTCTACTGTATCTTAATTTAACTGCAGAACTATATATGATTGCAAGTGGGGCTGAAGAAAACACCAATATCATAGAATCTCAGTTAAAAGAAAAAATAAAATCAGCTCTATCTTTTGAGGGTTGATTCACACATTCAAGAAGGCGTTGAAAATCCTTATTTGAGGTGACTTGGAGAAGACAGATTGGAATGATGGGGATGAGAAACACAGATGGAACTAAGCTCTGAGGCAGGACCCACAGCATTTCAGGCAGAAAAAATAAGTTGTAAAGAACAGAGATTCCAGAAGCCATCTTTACCTCTTCCACCACATGAAGGTGTCTTGCACAGGAACTGCTAATCGAGCACTAACTTACCATTAATTTCAAAAGAATCAATTTACATACAAATAATGAACTGAGTAGCTGTTTTACTGAAGACAATGTCTTAATAGTTTAATTCTTCATCTTGATTATGACTTAATTCCAGAGAATCCAGTACAAGTGGCATAATGCAGCTCAGAAATTATGTCTGGGATGAAATAGCCATTGAGAGATTATTCTATGGACTAGCAATTATATCACATGCAATCGTCTGGAACTTGATTGTCTCTCAGAGGTGCAGGACCCCAGATTGTGACACTGTTAGGGGATGGCGGAACCTTTAAGAGTTGGGCACAGCAAGGCCATTGAGAATGTGCCCTTGAAGGAGATGCTGGGACTCTGCCCTCTCTTGTCTCCTTTTGCTTCCACATTTTCAGGAGGAGGACAGGTCCTCTGCTGACCACTCCTGTGATACATCACGCACTGCAGTACTAAAAGCCCAAGGACAACAGAGACAAATGACTCCGGACAGAAACCTCTGAAACTCTGAGTCCCAACAAGCCTTTCCTCCTTCTAAATTGATCACCTCATATATTTTGTTACAGCTGACCAACATATTATATCCAAAAATGTATAGTTTCTGCTAAGTAAGTTTTAAGTGCTAAGTCATTATACACAACAAAGGCTGATGACAGCTATGTAAAGTAGTTTTGTCTCAGAGAAAAATCTATTCCCTGCTCTTCCTTCCTCACACAGAACTGTAGAGAGAGGAATCTAGCAATCATGGATACATTTTTATTTTTATTTCATTTTATTTTTTTGGTACCGGGGATTGAAATCGGGTCCTTGCGCTTGCAAGGCAGGCCACCGAATGGCTGAGCTAAATCTCCGGCCCTGATACATTTTTAAAAGTATAAACAAAATCTCAAATACAAAACAAATGCCAGAGAAAAATTCTTTAAAAACTTAAATTTTATACCCTAATATATATCACAACTCATTTACTGCTTTATTTAGTTTAATGTCAAATGACTGATGATTAATTTAGGAAATTGTATCATTGGAAGCCACGTCCTATGTAGGGAAGATATTTTCTTCTGGAACAGTTAGTAATGATCAAACAATTTTACATATGATCAAAGTATTTTATTACTCACCAGATCCTTGATCAAAAATAATAATACTTAGAAGGTGTGAGGAACCAAGAGCATATATTTACATATGATTTATTAAAGGTATAGCTTTAGATTACTTATATAAGTGAGCACACAGAAAATAAATACTTCTCTATAGGTGTCCATTAATTTGATTACAATTATAAACATGAAAATTATTTGCTATAATATTTGAGGCTAATGGGAAAACACAAGCTCACAGACAATATGATTACTGTTGGGTATAACTTGAAAAGCAAATTTCATTGTGCATTTATTAAGTGCCTTAAAATTTCCTGCAAAACATTTTCTTTGAATGGAATAAATATTTAAAAATAAACGAATTTCACCACTCACCTCTCTTAACATTCCTGCTTGTACTTGTGGATTTATGTTCAGGACAAGGGCAGAGTCCTTCACATTTGACTGAGATCTGCTTTCCTAGGACACATGCCTGATATTCCAGTTTGCACTGTATAAAAATAAATATAATTCAGAAACATTCAGTTATACTGGTAGAACTTGATAGATACGATTTGATAATCTTTTTTTTTCTTTATTTGTACATTTTAGGCATATGATACAGTTACATTCATCTTTGGGATCTTGTACCTTTACATGACGTATCTTGGTTCTTATTTTCTCCTGTTCCCCTTGCCTCCCTTCACTATTTACAGACTTTGTTTCCGTTCTTTTCCTTTTCTCTTAATTTTTTTTCTCTTCCTTTCTTACCTTTCCCCTACCCCTCCCACTTCCCATACACCTTTAGCCCTTTTTTCCACAATATCAGTTATACATTTTGATTCTTATTTACACTTTTAGTTTATCACACCAGAGAAATATTCGGTAGTGACACGTGTGTGTTCTATTTGTTTCATTTAAGAGTGTGGCTTCAATGTGCATCCACTTCCACAAGATTTGAAAATCCTTACACTGGATAATTTACTTGCAATTTTACATGCTCATATGTTGCTCCATGGGGGGGTCAGGAATGCACTTATCTTGGTTATTTTAGAAAACAGCATGGAAAAGAATAGTATTAAAGTTTTTGTTAGTTTGTCACCATCTAAGTGCAGAACTTTGGATCGAATGGACAGAGTTTGACAGCACAGCTCTTCAGCTCCAGTTTAAACATGAGCTTGGTTTTCCTGTTACTGGAGTATGCATGCTCGGTTTCACATACTGGGCTCTAAATTTAACACACAGACTGTATACATATGGATAATAACTTCACATCACTACATTGCTGATCAGATCATATGAAGCAAACAATTGTGAAATGTACATTTGTGAGTTGACTGCTTATAAAATTATTCTGATTACATACAATTTTCCACATACCACATCAGTTCAAACATACACAGAGAACAAATATACGCATCCACATGTAAAATAAAAAAATTATTTGTAATCTTCATGGGCCTACTTTTATGACATACAATGTATTATGAATGCACTATGTATTTACAATAGTTCTGTGCACATAGCATATTTTTGTTATGAAGAACTTTCAGCGGTGTTTTCACCTTAACATGCAAATGACCTTTGAATTGACTTCTCCATAAATCTCTATTAATATAAGATTGTTTCTACAAGCCCTAGAGATTATTTCACTTTCTTTACTAAAATGATAGAGTACAGCATGCCTCTCCTTATTGCTTCTATGATCATAGGGTTAGAAATCATTAGGAGAGTAATAATGGCACATTTATGATTCTATCATACCTATTATAGAAAAAGATAAATGAATGGTATAGGACAAAGAAAGCAACTCACGAATTCACATCTTATGAACACAACTTCCTAAGTTTAACATTTAGGGCTAGTTCCTCAAAGCTCCTCAACTCAATTTCCCCATCTACAATACCTAATCTCAAGATATCTACAAATCCAATAGCTACTTCCCCCCAATGCCTTAGCTAACATGAACCCGTATCTCAATACATATTAATGTAAAATGAGTATGGAGTTAATTAAAAAAAACTCAAAATTGTTACCAGTCATGACTGTATTATTTTAGCTTAGCTTTGGTTTGGTTTGATTTTTTTTTGTAAATATTTTCTTTGTAGAATTTTAAGCCTGAGTATCTTTAATTCCTTCTTATGACAGTATTTTGTAACTGCAGATTTGACATGAGTTCAAAAATCTAAAAGCACTACATATTTTTAAGAGGCAATAATTATCTTCCAACTCTAAAAGAAATAGATCTTGCTAGTTCTGAAGTAATGTAATTTTTTTAGTGGCTACTCCCATAAATTACTCAGAGCAAATTATTTTAAAATTAAATAGAGTAGACTTTCTGGCTCCAATTGACAAATGCACCAGTGACTAATTTAATTCAGCTTCAGCTGATACAGAGAAGTACTGAATGCATTCAATGACTAATGAGATTATTCATATCTCTACAACATTTAAGTTTTCCTTGTCAACTCTTTAGTGGACAGGCAAAAATCCTCTGTACCCTTGCAATAAATGAGTAAAAATTATTAAGTCCTTTGTACAAGCTTGAAGCAGAACATTGTCCCTTTAGGAGAACAAGCCCTTTCAATGATAAGTAAATGTTTCAATAATTGAAAAAAAAATTTTGTCATGTAAAATGAATCAAATGTCATTAAAAATGTCAAATTCTAATTAAAAGTAGAAATATTTAAACAATTATGAATGTTTCATGAAAGCTAAATTACTTATATGAAATTTTGAGTCTTCATACTTAATATTTATATTCTAATTTCTGTTATCTTATTGTTTCAGTATTCTGGACCTGGTCATATAAAAATTCTGACTCATGACATAATTAAAGAAAAGTTAAAGAGCAATTTCAAATGGTTTATGAACGGACAAAGTTAAAAGCCAACATTAATTACAGCCAATGTTATATTTTTGACACTAGAAAATACTGTAGCTGTCTTCAAGTGTGTTCTATGTCACAATTTACATTTTAAATATGTTCTATTTTAGCATTGATTTTTTTGCATAAGGAATATAAAATACTTGAATGAACAAAAATACAAAAGCTATTAGTTTGGGGAAATTATATTTTCTACTTAAAAGTTGGTGATTAATTTTTATATTGTTAGCCACTAATAAAATAATGTACATGAAGAGTACAGCATGAAGAGCAAAGCTTTATTCCTAACAAGTTTTATTTGGTATAGTGGCTGATAAAATGTTACAGTTTTTTAAATTCATGTGATTTATGAAATTACAACTTTTCAAAGTTATTTTATGAATGAAACAATTCCTTCGTCAAAATAATTCTACTGAACACCTTCTTTTCTCAATGCATTTTTGGCAAAGGCAATAAAATCAAATGTACAGCAAATATGCCCTTTGTGTATAATGATATAAATTTAGCTGCTTGTAAAAAAAAATACTTAGCTTTATTTAATTCCAGATTAATTTGTGGGGACAATAAGCTTTATGAAGAATTTTATTTAAAGAATATTCAGAAATTAAAAATTCTATTTTATAATATTTAAGCTATCTTTATTGATTGAACTTTTAATTAATAGTGTTCAATTTACTTAATTATCACACAGCTGAAATATTTGTCAAGGTATAAGTGAACCAAAATATCACATAAAGGGCATACTCATTAGTCTATAATTACCAAAAATGCAAATAATGTAGAGAAAGACAGGATTAATGCATTCCTAATTAAGACACTCAGTACTGAATACTTTAGTTATTACTTATGAAAAATAAGGAACCAGAATGATTTTTGACACACAGTTACTTTATACTAATTTGTTTAATAACTGGGCCAACTAGAAGAAAATAGGATCTTAGTAAAGGAGAGATCTACAGTGTACAGAAAACAACCATCAGAATCAATAACCACTGAAACAAGATGTTATCATTGCTTTTAAAGCTAATGCTGCCTCCATGACCATGGGAGAGGGCTCAGACCAGAGGTTCCCATTTGGGACAGCTCCTCTCCCCAAGCCTAGTAATGATGGCAGGCAGACATTGAGGTGGGAAGGAGTTGCTGCCACACCTAAATGTAGAGGCTTTAAATTCAGTGAAACATCTTGCCATACACTGGACAATATCCACTGCATCCATAAAACATGCACTCAATAGAAAAGAATTACTTGACCCCTAAAGTCAATAATGCCAAGATGAAAAGCCCTGATTAAGTAAGTAGCAGCACATTGAAATACAATGAAAGAACGAACTAAATTATCAAGATCATTTCTTAGAAATTTGTCACTAAACTAATCCATATAAAAACAATGATATAAACACATTACCAGCTATAACTACTTTATTCAGAAAGGTAAAACACAGTTCAGAGTGTCCTACTTTCACTGGGGTGTCATGACATGTCAAACCATGTTAAGTAGCTTTGATGAACCACATTTACATAAAATAAGGAACTCATATAAAATAAGGAAGTCATAAACTGATCATGACTGAGATATTATGCAAGCACTAAAGCACTGTTTTATACTTCTAATATAGAACAAATATATAATTAGCAATAGAAGAAATAGCTATTGTTTCTTATAGCACTAAATAATTTTACCCACATGAAAAATCAATTTAAGAAGAAAACCATGATTCATAACCATGAGTCATATTTTTAAAAAGTCTCTGATTTAATCTTTCTGAGACTATTTCTTCAATGCCCTGAACAGCCTATCTGAATTCCCATGAATAGAATCCTTCATACTCAGTTATAGCTAACCCTTTCTAACAAGCCTCCTCCACTTGAGTTCTGGTTCCCACTCTGGTATTTCCTATGCAAAGAAAACCAAAGGCAGAAACAAAAATGTGATTCAAGCCTAAATCCATTCATTCAATCAGGATATACCACTTACAAAGAAATAACATAATTGTTACGTTCACACACAATCAGGGAACTTAGCACAGCAACATTAAAAAAAAAAACAAAACCTCTGCACTATAGTGGATATGCAATGTTGTATTCTGGTTGTAACATTCTTCCTTTCATGCAAGAATAACAATAGGCTTATTCAAGGAAATTTTTCCTTTTTTTTCTTCAGAGAGCTGATTTTGGGGAACATCTGCATTACAACACATTATAATTTACATACTGAGTAGAGAAGATGGCTCTTATTCAAGTGGATGGCCATTGTCCTAGTAGTCTTTGGGCCCCAGATAGGACAATAAGGGTATACAAATATCAGTTTATTCTCTGACTTAAGACATCCACCTACCATCAAAAGTCAGTGATCTTGGAATTTCAGATTCTGCAATAGCCAATAAACTCCAACAAATTTAAGGATCTGATCTCTGTCTAAAGTTTATTAGAACTAACTAGATGGATTCACAATGTTGTCTCTCCAGCAATGAAGAGAAATAGTTAACTCAACCACCAACAACAAAAAGTAGGCTGAGCATTTTACTGTATTCTTTGGGTATTTGAGAGACTATAATCTTCATTTGGACAGTTTACTTGGTGCTTTACATCACCTAAACCCATTACTGTGTCTTTTGAAGCTAATC